GTAGATTGTAAAGTACTTGCCATTTTATCTTTTAAAAATCAGCTTTTGAGAATTCTTTCAATATTTTTATTCAATTTCATTTTATCACTATCTTTTGTAACTAAAAAGGACTAGATATTGATGCTTTGTGTTTGGGGAATAGTATGTGTGGTCCTTTATCGATTTTATGGAGTACACCAACGGGACCTTTTGCCTCAGGGTCCAGTTGTAGTTGGTGGATGATAGAACTTGTGTTTGCATTTATTAGTTTTGACATGTTTTGAAGTTTTAAATGGTTGTCATCTCTGCAAATGCAATGAATACTAATTTTTAAGTGAATCTTGCAAGGAGGGAACTAACTTGGTTGGTTGGTCTGGTATGTTTAGGTCTTCATGTTGCGGAGGGCCTCCGAAGAGCCCCGGGGACATGCAGCTGCCATTATGACAGAAGTCTTACTGGATGCTGAATGCAAAGGAATTATCAACGCGTCTCAAAAGAAAGTACTTCTCCAGCAGATGGCACTTAATCTCTCTTGATCCTAGTCAGTTGCCAAATTTTGTTCGTAATTCCTCGATCTAACAGGAAAAAGAAAAAGAACACTTCTTTGTGTTGTTTATCACGGTTTGTTTTTCATTTGTTGGAAACGTTTCACTTTTTGTAGGTGCAGTCCTTATAAACGTACTTATACATAAGGGATTCCACAAGATCCGCGGATATAGGAGATACTGTAAATATGTTTAGTTCTGAGAGAGACATGTAAATCCCATAAAAATGAAAGGAAAAGAGGTGATGATGAGTTTTATTCATGTGCCCTCCTGATATATTTTCTTGGTCTGTTATTTCACAAGGGGTTTATGAGTTTTTTGAGGAAATTGAAGCCAAATAGCCCTGAACTCTGAATGTTGAAGAGTAAAGGATAATTTGTTATCAAACTTGGTGAAACTTCCTTTGCTGCTTTTGGTGTTTGTTCGAGAAATTTTCTTTGCTGCTTTTGGTTTTTGTTGTGAACAAAAAAAAGGATTTGCGTGATCTCGAATAATGAATAAAATTCTTTTCAAGTTCTCACCTATCAAAGTTTGTTAACCCGATAAGCCATTTTTATACTCGCTCGCCCAAGTAGCCATGAATCTGCGGTTCTAGTAATTTCATGAATTATGAATACACAAGCCAATTTTTTAAAACCATGCAAAAATACTATATATTTTTTTGAATGTAGATTATTATTCAATTTGGCCTCTGTCATTCAGTCTGTAACAACATAATTATAGGAGTAATTGAAATTTTTTTTTTTTTTTTTCATTTTCCATAATGCGGTAACAAAGTTGAGGGAAGTAAATAATTTTCTCTTTTGTTGTAGTCCGATATCAAACCCAATGATGTTGCATGATCTTCTCATTTGTTGGGGTCCAGTATCAAACCTGGTTTGAAACCCAAAACTAAAGTGGCCACTGCATGTTGAGTGAGAGAAACATTTTATTTTCATGGATTGTTTAAAGAGACTAGACTTTTTGCACTCTCGAGAGATTTAATTTCCAGCATAATTAAATTTCTCACATACATTCATATATTTGTTGTTGACTTAATACCTTTTTCTTATTATAAAAAATTATAAATTTGAATCAAAGTAGATGCCTTATATATATATATATCTTTATAACTCTGTAAATATATTTCCTCTTTTTTTCACCACTTTACTCTGTAATTACTCTTGTATTCTTACTTATACTTGTACGTACACACACACACACACACACATACATATATATATGTGTGTANNNNATGTTTTTAAAAATGCAGAAAAAATAAATTGAATATTTAATAGACAAATACACACACATATATATATATATATATATATATATCAATCACATTTCTAACCAAACCTGTCTTGGACTTTTAGTTCCTCCCATAAAAAAAAAAAAAAAAGAAGAAAATTGCATTTAAAACCCAGAAAACCAAAAAACAAGAATCAATCTCAATCATTTACCTGTATCAATAATTAAACACACACTTTATACAATTAACCTACAAATTATATATTCATATATCTAATTAATAATTTATTAAGATTAAATGAGAAAAATGGGACCATGCTTGAAATTCAGGTAAGGTCTTAGTCATTAAACCTCCATTGCTACAAGTAAACCAATATCCTACCACAGTACTTGATTAATCACCCAATTAAATTAAGAGTAACAAACAATTTAAAAGGAGGAATTGGTCAATGCTACCCACTTTGGTTATTTGTATCAATCAGATTCAAAATTATCATCTTAATCTTTCCATTATTCGCCATGGTTACAACCAAGTTTTTGTCCTATTGTTCATAAGGATGAAGTCTCAAGCTTAATACTTTATATTTACTTAATTAACTTCAAAAAAAATTTATGTAGTTAATTATACATAATATAAAGTCTTTGAAGCTTCAACAACTTACTAATTGACTGGTAAAAAGCAGACAAGATTTCCCAGCACCGTCGTATACATCTTCAATTTGTGTTTTTAACTTCTCACTCAGCACATCAAATATGTATGCTTATCATGATTAATAGATGGTTTTACTTTAAATTTAACATTTAATCCTAATTAATTACTAAAGGATTTTAACATTTAGACTTTTAACAACGTTAAGATTTGAGCTAGCAGTTTCAACCTAATAGTATTTACAGTAATTAAATACTGTGGTATTTTAACCTTTAAATTATAATTATTATAATTTGTAATTATATTGTCTCAAATTTTTATGTACAAAACGTGAAAATTAGTGATTTTTAGTATCGCATTAAGGATTTATCCTAATTTAATCTTTATTTAAAATAAATTTATACATTCTATTAATTAAATTGTATTTATATATTATGTCTTTATAATGAAGACAAATATATCATAAACAAAGATAACACTGTCAACTATCCGAAAAAAAATGGTTGATAACTTTACTGTTTATATATATATATATATATATATATATATATATATATATTGAAAATAAGATTAGCGATTATGCATCCCTGGGCCCCTCTTTGATAGCATACATACATATATATATATATATATAGGGTAGGCATGCATATATACTAAAATAAATGGAGAAGAAGCCAACAAATACCCGGAAAATAAAGGTGAGAGAAACTCCATTTACATATATATACATATATATGTATGTATGTGTACATATTAATGACAGCTGTTTGGATACTATAACATATATAGGGATGTGTTAGGTTCAATTCATGGTACATGAACAAGAAGATAATTGCATAGAGAAGAAACCCAAAGAGGAAAAGAACCAAGGTAGGTATCCCATGGAACCAAACCACTTCACCACAAAGAAACATATCTATATATATATATATATATCCTCTATAAATTTCACCCGTACTTACAGATCAGTCCAATTACCCTCATATAATAAATATACGTACATACATACATACATACATACATATATATATATATATATACTCACATGTAAACGCATATACATATGTGTGCAAGTATCTAGGCTGCAAAACATTATTTATACATGCACAACTTGTTTATATTTTAAGTATGTGTGTTTTAATTAATATACAGATAGAGAGAGAGAGAGACATATAGAGGGGATATATATATATATATATATATATATAATTATGAGACGTATATATGAAAGTGTTAAAAAAGACAGCTTGCAAGATGAAGAGATGAGAAAAGAGAAAGTGATGAGTGGTTTGAAGCATGCAGAGGAGAATTAAACGTTAGACAAAAAGTGGAAGTAATAGTATCCAGAAATGTTAGAGAGAGAGCGATAGATGGGATTGATGATTAGATTTTTTGTATTCATTCAATTTCATCAA